AAAAGAAAAATAATACAGAACAACACAACGTGTGTTGTGTTCACGTAACTGAGAAGAGTTTAAAAAAGAACCAAAAAAAAAAAAAAAAAGAATAATGTACAACGTTATTGTTTTAAATAGAACGAGCACTCGTCATTTTTATTATTATCATGATCCATCTCACAAGATATGGATTACAATTACGAGTTTCCTACCATAATTGTAATTTCATATAATAAAATAAAACCAAATAATAAGAAAAATTAATTTTCACGTGTAATCATTAAATGAAAGAACGGTTGTCGGTTTATTATTAAGTGGGATTACACTGCACCATAAAATTCGCAAACGACCCTTGTTAATTAAAAACCTTTCTCGACCATTATTATTATTATTATTATTATTCAGGAAATAAGAATGAGATAAAGAGAGAGAGAGAGCGACAGAAGGGAGGGGATTAAAGGGTGAACTGCATAATTTGCTAACAAAATTGTAGTGCAAATAATTGAAAGGGAAAAATGTGCAATAAAATTTGTATAAAAATTAGAGAGAAAAAAAAGAGATGGATATAAATAAAAATGTAAAATGAACAAAAAAAATCCTTCCCTTTCCCTTCCCCCACCTTCTTTAGCCCATTCATCACACGGAACTACAAAATTCAATATACGAGATATAAAAATACATGGTGTATTTTGTTAACGGGCTGTCTGTCAAATTGTTTTCTTTTTTTTTTTTTTTAAACTAATGATATTAACTCTAGCAGAAATCGAAATGAAACAAAAATTGTGCATTTATCGATCAGTTTGCAGAGACCAAACGAACTATGTTATGCGCCAAATTAGCTGAGTCAACGTGAATTTGCTCCAAGCACGCGATATACAATAAACTTTTCTATAAGTTATTTAACGAATACATTAACAAAATATACCATCAGTGGTCTCTTATCCTATGCCCTTAAAAAAACCTACAATCAAAAATAAATCTCATACAAATAATAATATTAATAATAATAATAATAATATAAGAAAGTCAGGATCATTCTTTAAAAAGTCCTCTTTACACGGTCACCCTTTTAGAACTTCTTTTTTTTTTTCTTTTCGTTTCGTTTTCATCTAGAAGGGTTATGCACCCTTTTTCGTGTCACACGAGAAAAAAAAAAACAAAGGGTTCCCCCTTTCCCAGTTATGGTTCTAACATATTCATCCACGAAAGTATTGTATCGTGAACTTGGCCTAGAATTTGGTTCATTCGCAGTGGGTTTTTTTTTTTTAGGTTGGGGAGGGGGGAAGTTCATTCTATGTGAACGAAAATAAAAAAGAAAAAAGAACAGAATCTTTCGATACCTATAAAAGAAAAAAATCCTATATATATACACAATAAAATTCGCAAAAATATTAAACGACAAACGATGATTGCTTTTATGGGTTATCGTATTATTTACAAAAAAAAAAAAAAAAAAAGAATAGAAGATTCCGATCGATATTAATATTATATTTAATTTGCAAGTAATCATCTTATGTTTGAAACGATTAAAAAAAAAAAAAAATGATAGCCACGTGAAAATAGGATGATACTTCTTTCCCCCCCCCCTCTCCTTCTCCTACTACTATTTCAGATTATCTACAACGATCAGAAATTATTATTATGTCGAACGCGTTGTAAACGCCAGCATAAAATTCTCACGATCTGTCAAGCAGTTAATACTAATCGCGATCATCTAAAGAAGATAAAAGCATTTTATCAGAGTTAGCCAGTTAGCTAGCTAGCTAGACAGTTAGTTATCTTTTTCTCTGTCTCTCTCTCTCTCTCTCTCTCTCTCTCTCTCTCTCTCTCTCTCTCTTTTTCTATCGCGATATCGTATAAAGAATTTTAAACGATATCTGTGTCTCTTTTTTCCTCCCCCACCCCCCTACTCCCTCTCCCACTCGTTATTTTTCCTTATTCTCTTTAAGACACACAACTTCATTTGTCGTTCAATCAAAAATCTCGGAAAACTGGACGACGATCAATTACGTTTCTTCTCTTTAATGATTACTATCATACTCAGGAATGTTACTGATGTGATGATGATGATGACGATTAAGATCTATTCTCGTCACAAAGAGGAATTCTAATTTTTTTTTTTTTTCTATCCACAAATCAATCCCCGGTCTTTCGAAAGAGAAAGACAAAATTATGTTACCCTCTTTATTACGAACGAAAATATTTTACTCTCTGCCCCGCCCCTTCTTCCCACTCGTTTCGTTTAAATGATTTTTATTAATCAATCATATTTTTTCGCGAAACTAATCGACTAATTAGCGTTGAACTAAAAAAGTTCTTACTATGTTATGCAGTTTATAACAGTTTATAACAGTAGAGTTTCAACATAACGTATGCACGAACTTTAGATTTTTATTGAACAAAAATTGACATAATTGGTTGAACGATATATGCTCGTATACCTGAGCCCACAAAGTTTAAATAAAATTGTGTATAAAATAAAATAAGATCTCTGCATTAAAAAAAAAAAAAAAGATAGAAAATTCAGAAACGTGAACGTACACATATACACGTATACATATAAATTTAATAAAATGTAATATTACAATAGAAAATAAGATTTAAATTAAAAAAAAACGATAAAATAGAAAATAAGAACTGATGTGTGTATTTATGTACGCACGTAAGAAGTTATACTTCTTTAGCGTACCAAAACGAATATAACCTGAATAACCTCAAAAATAACTTCAATTTGACCGCGCATCGTAAATATCGACAACTTCTCGTGGTGTCGACTTTTTCGGTCGCATCTAACTTCACTTTTCTAAAAGGCGCTAAAAGAAGTAGAACTTGAAAAAATTGAAAAACGTGAACGTAGTAAGTGCTTCGTATACATATATATATACCGTACACATATCCACGTATACATACAAATATATATATAACATAGATAGAGAAACTTCAGTTAGGATACGGTCATAGAAACGAAACGGCGACGAAATTGCATAATCGTGCTTCCTCAATAACGACGAGCGTGCGACGATGAACGAGAGATAATAATGTCGCGGAATTGTCGTTTACATATATGAGGTGCGCGCGCGAACGAACGAACGAACGAACAAACCCGCAGCTCTATAACTGCGGCTAACGCATAACAAAGTTACGTTTTTACGATCGTTCCTTTTAAACGAACGTACGAACGAATGACCCTGTGTGACGTTTATCCAATCCCACACGGTGTAACGTTGGTTTCCGTGTCGAATTTAATCCACGTGGATATCAATACGAATACGAATACTTTTGCTAAGTCCTACATCAACCAACCCCTCCCTCCCTTCTCCTCCCCCCCACCTCCCGTCAACTATTAGTACAATAGTTACGCCTTTACACGATTTATCAATTATTACTATTATTTAAATAATTGCAGAGTTATATTTTATTTTTGTAATGTATCTTTAATAGATTTTATTTATTATATTTAATAGTGCCATTGGGTGGATGATTTTTGTTTCTTTTTTTTTAACGATATGTTCAACTATTATGCTAATTCTTCTCCGGATGGTCTATCATTTTTAAAGATTTGTCCATTGGTTTTCGAGGATGTAATATCTTTTTAGAAAATAAATGTATTTAAGGGTTGTTGGAAATCACACTTGTATCATAGTGTGTTAGATTCGATTGATTTCATTTTAGTTAATAAATAGTTGGAAATTGACCAAGTTTATATTGAAATGAGATAATGAACAATTAATTAAATTTATTATTAACTATCTTTATAATTTGATGATTTTTATTTAGAACAATATTATCAATTCATAGAACAATTATCTTTTCATCGGGTCATAATTAAAATTGTTATCAAATGACATTGTTCCATTTTATTTTTACTATATTAACAAGATTTCAAATAACATTAAATAAATTCATTGTAAAACGCGAGAAAAATATACGGAATCTTAAATCAAATCAAATGAAATCTTGGAAAGAAAGCTGTACCACATTTCTTCTTCTCAAAAAAAAAAAAAAAAGAAAAAAGAAAAAGAAAAAAGAAAAGATAAGTTGAATTCCAACCAAAACTAACTCCATTCAAGATAATTAAGGATTATAATTTTCTGCATAACTTGGCCTACTTTATAATAATATCTTCCAATTTCAAAAATGAAGCATTTCCGGACGACTTAATTTTAATATAACCCTTATTTTTCTTTTCTCTTTTCA